ATCCTGTCGTGATCGAAGGCCTCATTTTTTTATAGAGAACCTGAAACGGCTTTTGCCAGAACTTTTGCCGCACCATGTATACAGTAGCGCTCGAAAGTCTTCGGTGGAATGCTTTGACGCTTTTTTGTTCATAACTTTTTCCTTATTAGACCGAATCGCGCGAGATTTGAATATGTTCAACTAGAGCATATTTCACCCTGCACAACAATATTAAACTGTGAAGCTGCAATATCCACAGATAGAGCAAGGTGTTTGTTGCGGTAGAGGATTTTGCTAAAAGTAACGTTGTTGACGTCTGCACTTATGTGCGTTTTTTCTCATCTATTGTGTTCGGCATTACCGCACGTACACTTCAGACATGACAAGAAGGAAAGAGATTCTAGAAGGACCATCATCTGTATTTTCAATCGATTTTGAGTTCTTGCTCTTTGGAATATCTGGAGTATGATCGGATTGCATTTAATATTTTTAAATATTCACAATACACCCACGCTCCAAGTATAGAAATTTCACAGGAATGGATCCAGTAGGAAAGGGGTTACGACAAAAAGTACAGCTGAAGAACCATATCACCGAAGACGTTTGAGCATTGCTCTATAATATTAATTGCATGAGCAAAAATATGGAGTGTAGGCACATGGCTGTATATGATGAAGAGCTTCGAAAATAAAGGCTTTAACGGTATCTATTCCTCACTTCACTGCACTCACCATTGAAACACATGGTGAAAACGGTGAATGGATAGGGACATGGAAACAAGCTCCTTGGGTGCATGTGGGAGGACAGCAAAGCGAGATCCACCACGATGAATTAATGAAAAAAGTGGTACTTATCGACTCTTCATTGGTAGCGAAAGAAGCAAAGGATTTTCACGAGTGCTTTCAACATTGGGGATATTTTTTTGTTAGAAAAGGGGATCAGAATTATTTGCGCTTTCCTTGTGAAGATTACTCGGACTAGCTTCCTCAAATGTTTAAGACCAAGAATTCTGTCAGCTTGAGTTCCTTACCATACTTTGGGCATAAGACGTCTACCATTTGTGAGTTGTAATTTTTGAGAAAATTTTTCTTACGTGTGTAAACATTAACCGTGTAAGTGGGAGGTCCATTAGATAAAGGAGGAATTCTACAAAAGCCTTCGCTGTGAAACTGTGCGAAGATTTTTACATAGAAACATGCTTCTGTATTTTAGTATATGGGCGGAGGTGGTGTAGTGATAAGTATCGCCCTGTCGTAGATGCATGGTCGCGGGTTCATATCTTGCATCGATATCTGTCTGAACAACCCAAGCCTTCCATCCCCCCGTGGTCAGCTGATTGGTACTAGACTTGTCTGAGAGTATGAAAACATTCACTGTACATCGACTGGTTACAGCAACTCATTGTACAGGTCACTTACGAGTTACACCACTACGATTCTGTGTGGAAGTCAATATTTGAGAGCTGCTTCAACTACGTGATGTCATTTTTTTCTCTTCTCTGATTTCGACTCTGATGGAGCCACATTTATCGAAACAGCTTGGGAAATATTGGGTTGTAACATAAGTTCGTAGAGTTTTGGGTTAGGGTCATTTTACAACGATTCGCTTTGTTTTTTGGCGAAGTGTATATATTCATTCGAAAGAGCTCTTTCTCCT